TTGATGGCGGCTGGCGGGTTTGTTCATTGTCGTGTTTTTGGTTTGCAGCTGGAGACAGAAACAGTGTCGGGAGCACCGGCAGCGTGGGCAGCACCCGCAGCGCCGGCAGCGGGCAGAGCACTGAGAGCAGCCACGCCCCCAACGGACTGCAGCACCACGCCAGTCACCATGACAACAAGGTACAGCGGATGCACGTGGACACATAAGCACCTTTTTTTTAGCCCGTTTCTCAGATTTGGAAACTTTAATCTGGGCGAGTCTCTGAACTGAATACAGAAATGTTTTGGACTGAGTCTGTTTCACTACCACAGCCCGACTGTGACCTTTGACCCCCTGAAACACACTTTTTATATCTGGAAAAGGATTTAGGAGTTGACATAAACAGACCTCGGTAAGCTTGAGTGTCACGAATCACGTGAAACACAGAATTAGATGAGGAGATGACATGTGACTCCTGAAACGCCGAGATGTCGATGCTACAGACAGCTGTGTTTGCACGACCTTAAACTGTAAAAGACGGTGGCGGCACATGGGGCTGTGGAGTTAACGTGAGTATTAAGTCTCGTGTAGCCATAGACGATGACTGATTTAAATCTTGTTCCCCGGCCGTTTTAATCTATCGAGGAAACGTTCACCAGCCTGTCATAGATGAGAGAGATAAACCCTTTACGTGTTGGAACTAGAGTAAGGAGCATATCCTCCGGGCTTGCAGCTGGTGCTACCGGGAAATTTGGAATCTGAGATTGAAGGAAATGTCTGATCTGCACATATCTGCAAAGATGTGCACGTGGGACATTAAACTTTTCAGAAAGCTGAGCAAAAGATGCAAAGGTATTGTCAAAAAACAGATCATTGAAACATGTCGTGCCGATCTCGAAATATAGGATCAGATGATGGCTGAAAAAAGGTTAGAGAAAACTGGACTCAGTAGGGAGAAGCCTGTTAATCCAAAATGCACATTAATGATTTGAATACCTGAGAGTCAGACTCAGTAAAAACTCCTAAAATGACCTAAAGATTTGCTGAAATCTCTCATGTGTCACGATTTGCACAGATTTGCCTTTTCATTTATAGTTTTTCTTCTAAATTCTTTTATTTTGTGTGTTGGTGAAGCTCTGTGCTGCTCGCTGACATGTTTTACATGTTTTTATGTGCAGGCAGCGCCCTCTGCTGTTGATCCAGGGCAGTCTGCAGACTTTAGCAGGCCGGCTGATCATCCTGCAGGTACCTATTCAGGTCAATTCAATTCATTATATTACAATAATACACACAGAGAAAAACCCCAAAGTCACATGACCCCCTATGAGCAGAAAAACTCCCTTTTAACAGGAAGTAACCTGCGGCAGAACCTGGCTCAGGGAGGGGCGGGGCCATCTGCTGCGACTATCTGTGTGTTGAACAGTGTTGGGGAGTAACAGAATACATGTACTGGTGTTACATATTCAAAATACAAAATATGAGTAACAGTTACTGTTTAAATAGGTGGTAATCAGAATACAGTTACTTTGTTAAAATAAATAGAATACTCCGCGGTCATTTCCTGCTCCATATGTTAGGCTATCCCCTCTCTATGCTTTCTCCAATGTTGGTGATTAAATGCAGTGGAGCGTAGGTGTGGGTCAGTTGGATGAGTGCATAGCTGAGAGCGGCCGGCCCGTGTTCAAGTTCGACCCGCGGCACTTTTTTCCTTCTGGGATTAATACACTGATTCTGATTGCTGAAGACCCAAACAAAACACTCAATAAGAGGCTCTAATGTCAGCGTCCTGTTAATAGTGTCAGTTACGCAATGGACCCGGAGCCAGCACAACAGAGCCAGCAGTGCACGGCCAGGAATTCTTACTTGGAATTTCCAACACCACTTCATAAGAATTGGATTCAGTATCTTCGATGTTCTGTTGCTGTGTGATTTTTATTACTATTAATGAAGGCTACTCGCCACCGAGCTAACATTATTAGCCGGCGTTAGCTGAGGTTAGATCATAGACTGTTAGACTGTTTGTAAATACTCAAGTACACGAGTCCGTATTTCCTGAGAACACAGCGCAATCTTTCCACAATTGGAACGGAAGTGTACTTGATGACATCACAGCTCCGTCCCCTCTTAATTTAACTGTGATTAATATTTGCAATGGAAATGACACATGACATAAAACTTATGATGTAGTAGATTTCTTTAAGAAAAAAAAGATAATTTCAAAAAGTATTTTAAGCACTTTGGCAAGATTTGCTTTTATGTATCATCTGTTTCATAATGTCTGATAAGCTTCATACAGTTAAGCACAATCACGACATGACAGAAACACAAGCTTAATCTCTGTTAATAAACATAGTACACATGTATGCCTGCATAAAAACAAACAGCTGAGCTGTTAGAACACTTTCAGCCTTCAGGATCTCCATGTATTAACCTGCTGTTTTTAGACTTGATGGATAGCATTAACAACCTGCTAGCTGCAAATAATCATGTGCAGTTCCACATGATCTCCTTCGTGTAGGCGGGACTCCTCGGAGGCAGACAGTGACGGTGCAGAGACCTGCAGAGCAGAGCTTCTCCCAGCAGTTTGTTCGTCCTCAGCAGCTGCTGGATGGGAAGGTAAAGAGCAGCACTTTAAAACCAACTTCATGCTGTTAGTTTTTGTTTTGCATCACAATAATTTGCACATCAGCGTGGGAAAGTTCCAGAAAGCAGGTTTAACAAACTGAGTTTACATAAACCTGATTCCTCTGAGCTGGCCTTTAACAGCTGTAACTAAAAGAAGTAAGATCTCACTTGCGTGTATCACCTGATGAATTAACGTCTGTGTGTGTTTTAGGATGCAGAAGCCATCTATGAGTGGCTGAGTGAGTTCCAGCTTGAGCAGTACATCGGAAACTTCCTGAACGCTGGATATGATGTACCGACCATCAGCAGGATGACCCCTGAGGTGACCCTTCACTCCTTTATTAAAAAAGAGCTGCACAACTTCTGTTGAAGTCATCCGCCCTCAGTATCAACATAGGATGACCCAAATTTAGACCCACTGCATCAGAACCAACCCAAAGGAAAACAAACTGCATCTCCATCTAAGAGGAGCCCTGACATAATCAGGTCCCAGCACACTTGGACCTGAGTCACAATGACCTGAACACACCCTACAGGTTTTAGATCCTTGTACTCTTCTCCCATGACTTCTGCGTTTTCTTTTTACACTCATTGTGATTTCACTTAAATGACAACCTCCAGAGCTGATAAAATGAGGCTAGCGCTGAACCGCCAAAAGCTGCAGTTTCTCCAACACCCAGGAGGGGCAGCAGTGAGTCAGTCCCCATAGACTCCCATGTTAAAACTTTACAGAAACAAACGTATTTACAGCCTGATACACAAACGGTTTGGTTTATGTAGATGACTTCCTCCTTCATAAAATATAATAAAATTCTAGAATTCTATTAGATGTCATGAAAAAATAATTTGCACCTTGTTGCCCAAAGGTTTCTGATTCCAAAAAAAAGCTCACAAGCTTCAAAAACCAACAGGTGACATCACAGTGGTGACGGAAATTTTTATAAATGTTAGAAAGACAAATTAGAAGCGAAACGTTTGTAAATGTGTAAATTGCAATTCACTATTTATTCCGGTTTAAAATGATCTAAAGATCAGTGAAAGTGAAAGAGTATTTCATAATTCGAAAGTATTCTTGACACAATGTAAAAACTTTACAGAACCTTTTTTTTCATAAGTATTCACCCGTGTCACGCTGGCTGTGAACCACTGATATAAACTCAGATGCAGCCTCAGCACTATGCGGCTCTGCGTGTGGTCATTTCTCTGAGTGACTCACTGATGTTTAATGTGTGCAGGATCTCACGGCCATCGGAGTGACCAAACCAGGACACCGCAAGAAAATCTCCATTGAGATCAACAACCTGAACATCCCAGAGTGGCTGCCAGAGTACATCCCAGTAAGCCTGTCCGCTGTTTCGTGCACACACTGCTGCGTAATAAGCTCAATACTTTTCACCTGATCCAGCTCACGTGGCCTTTTCTCACAGTCTGATCTCTGCGAGTGGCTCAGTGCCATCGGCCTCCCGCAGTACCACAAAAAACTCTCCGAAAATGGCTACGACTCCATCAGCATCGTCAAAGACCTCACCTGGGAGGATCTGCAGGAGATCGGCATCACCAAGCTGGGTGAGGACTCGTTGGATCTTTGAGTTTGTGGATTGTGTTTCTGTCTGCGTTCTGAGTCTGATCATTCGATTTGCTTCCAGGCCACCAGAAGAAGCTGATGTTGGCAGTTAAGAAGCTGTGTGACATCCAGAGAGCGATCCTTCAGGCTGAATCAGGCCATGGCACGCTGCGACGCAAAGGTCCCGGAGCCCTTCACCTGGTCGCCATTGAGGCCGATGCTGGCAGCGAATGCTCTTCACCTCACACCCCGAAGATGCTGACCTTCCAGGACAGCGAGCTGAGCGCCGAGCTTCAGACAGCAATGTCAAGCCACTACGGAGACTGCGAGGAAGGTTTGGCCATCAAGAATGCGGTGGGGATGTCCCAGAGCCAGGAGAGCATTGACACCCGGTCCAGAGGTTCTGGACGCTCACAGGAGCCTCCTACAGCCTCCATCACCCCCCAGAACTGGTCCCAGGAGAGCCTGGAGGGCAGCCCCGCCAAGGAGAGGAATCTTCCTGAGGGATGGGACCAGAGGCCCCTACAGCAGCAGCCTCTGCCAAAACAGGTTCCTCTGGGTACGGCCACTGTGTTCAAGTACCCGGCCATCCCTGCAAAGCCCAAACTGCCTGGATCCCAAGGCTCCTCCCCTCACGGCTCCCCAACCCTGAAGGGGTTCAGTTACCTGAACTCGTCTCCCAGGCACCAGCACCACGCTATGACCCTGACACCACCCAACAAGCGCACCCAGAGCATCACCCGCTACGCTCTGTCAGACGGAGAGCCCGATGAGGACGACGAGGACCTGATGCGTGCTGGAAACGTGCCATCTTACGCCACTTTAACCCGCAAGCCCGGCCGCCACCAGCTGGCTCGACTGCAGCCGAGTCCAGACAAAAATGGCAGCGTGGGACGCAGCCAGTCGTTTGCTGTCCGTGCCCGGAAAAAAGGTCCCCCTCCTCCTCCCCCAAAGAGACTGAGCTCAGTGAGCAGCACCACCAGTGGCGAGCTAAGCGACAGCAGCACGACTTCGTCCACTGGCGGCGTAGTGACTGACAGTCCGGGGAGCGTGCGCAGCATCGCAGCGTCCCTGGAAAGCTGCGCAGAGGGGAAGAGCAGCTCCACGCCAGATATTGTGCAGCACGAGGCTCCATCTCCCTCCCTCAGCTCCGAGGTTGCAGGAGTAAGGAGGAGGG